ACAAAAAGCTGGACTTAGAGGGGTAGCTTCGCAAACTTTTAGCAATTTAGGTCAGTCTGTCTGCTTGCGTTCTTGGTGCGCTCCCGAATTACGTTCTCCTTCACCCCTGCAATGTTTCACTGGATGTCTCTCCACCCATCTAACATGCGGCTGAGCTTAAGTAACAGGGACTTGAGAGCTCACATGACATCAGTCTTCGTAAGCCATCTGTGAGGGAGATGAGAGACAGGAGAAAACAGACGTGAAGTTTCGTCTGGCTGACATACGACCAGGAGCCAGGTGGTTGGACCGGCCATCTGGCCATTCTGAGCTGGCCATTCATTTCCCAAACATTCTGCAGCTACTCTGCACCTGGCATGTAGCAGGGCGCGTGCAAGGCACCTCTCCTCCAGCACTCCGTTCGCCGCCCGCGCCTCACTGAGTGTCAGCAAGGCCCGGCCGGCAGGCGGGCCCTGCAGCGAAGGCGTGGGCCCTGCAGTCACAGACCACACCGGCCACCGAGCGAAGCAATGCCTGGTGCTCCAACCACTACTCGGGGGGAGAGGGTTAGCACTCAGCAGCCGACCACATTCTCCAGCTCTTCCGCTTGTGGTTTTCTAATCTGTTTTCAAGTTCTGGACTCCTGTATTCGACCCAAACTTTCACACGAGTGTAAACAAAGGTGCAGATAAAAACAATAGAGAGAACCTCAGGAAGTTCCAAGGGGGTATGGATTGGAAACCATGGTCAGCAACTACCTGATTAGTAAGTTAAATTTGCAAAAGAAAGAGAAAAAAGATCAGCGGTCAAGGCTTGAGAAGAAAGCAGCAAATGGAAACAGGTAGAATTTAGCCATCTAGACCCGGTTCTGGGGGGACCGGAACCTATGCTTGTTGGCAGGAGTGTTCCAGTTTTCAGAAGTGGGGTCAAACGCCGTACCTGGGAGCCCTCCCACACGGGTGCATGCAGGCGGGACCTGTCTCGTGCAGACGTTTCCTGCTGCTGACCCCACTGAGAGCGGGGGTCCCCATGCTCACGAACACCAGCCTGGCCGCTCTGTTCAGCCTGGGGACACACGTGCTCCTAAGCCGATTCCAGATACGGTGGCTGGACCTTCTGTCCACTACGGGTTCTGGGCACAAGGCTGGTTGCTCTTCCAGCAGAAGCAGCTCAGCCCTGGCTGTGACCCCCCTAGGATGCTCCCCGGGCCTCCGAATCCCCGGGCCACACGAGGTCTGGTTTGACTGACCTTCTGGCGAAGACACGATCCCCTGTCCCCCCTCCCTCCTCGCCACCAGGAGCTCTGGCCCAAAGCAGAGAGCTGCCCTGATGGGCGCACACTCCGCGGTCACCACGGGCACCTTGACCAACTGGCTGCAGTGTCAGACCGTCCTGAGAGACCGTCCCAGATTAGGGTGGGGCGGGGGTGTCTGCCAGGGCCTGGCAGTGGGGTGGCCCACGGGGGAGCAAGCACACAGCGTGGGGTCTTTGGACTCGAGCGAGAGCAACTGTGCGTGGAGAGGCAAATGGCGAGGTGGGGCAGGCAGGACGCCGACTGCAAAGCAGTGACGGCGGCCTACACACTGGCGAGTTGGGCAACTGGTTGTCTTCCGATGGCAGGTCTGGCTGCTTCCGTGGGAGCCTGCACGGCAAGGCCCTCTACATTGCAGGTCACTGATTTTGTGGCTCTGTTTTTTTTAAAGAGGGACCCTTAGATGTAATTGTTTTCTCCAATGGTACACTTTACTATTTAATGCTCTAGAAGTCTTTGAGGTGAACGCAGCAACAATTCTTTTCAAACAGAAATGTGAATTTTTGGTATCATACCAACAGTTCCATTCTTTACACACCGTTCAAGGATGGGTCTCCGCATTTGCTGAGATCATGGTAACAATCGTTACGGGCAAACACGCGACACATGGCAATGACAGATGAGGATGCGTGAGAGGGTTAGGTCGAAAGTGCCCTGTGGACAAGTGACGTTCAGCTCCTCCGGGCTTTGTGGAGCCGCAGGATGCTGTGTATCTTACTCGTGTCTCGGTGTTGAGAGCGAACCGAAGGCTTCAGGGGGCCGCGTCAGCTCGCCGCTGTGAGCCAAATCGTTTTTAACGCAGAGTCACGGCGGGTATGCTGTGTCTTCAGGAATGGAGCTACGCAGTCAGAGAGAAGCCTGCGCTTTCGTCCACGACGCCCCCGGAGCGCGGTGCGCTTGCATTTCCCACCATGCTCTCAAGCGGACGCGCAATCACTTAGTGAAACTACCAGCAACCGCGGTGAAAGGCCACACTGTTGCTCTGTAGGGTGTATGTGCAAGCAGGGCCTGAAAGAAGCCGGCTGGACTGACTGACACAAGTACTAGAAACAGCTTTATTGTTCTTTACATGTACAGTGTGTAAACATGGCTTATCGTCTGCATCTCGGAGTGGGATGTCGCCTGGGCGGGAACTGCAGATATTGCACTTAGTCATGGAGCGTGACAGGGAGCACCGCCTCGGAGCCGCAACACTGGGTGTGCGTCCGTCACATGGCCTTCTTTGGGACTCGGTGGACCACGCAGGGGCTCGTACACGTCCCCCAGCGCCAATCAATGGCTGCCATCGGGTTTAGTGGTAGGTTCATTTGCTCATCTCGGGGTGGTTTCAGCCAAAACTTTTGGGGATTTTAGGATAAAAATGAGGATACAAAACATAAAAAAAAAAAAAAGAAAAGGAAAGGCAGATTCAGCGAATACTTTCATTCAAGACAGGATCAGAGAATCTGGGATCTAGAATAATTATTGTCTAATTTTATAATTTGTTCTATGTTTTGGGCGAGCTCAAGGAAATGGGATAAAATGCACCGGCTGCCAGAGATACAGATGTATCAGCAGGCTGGCGTACGTGTATGCATTTCCCATTTCCTCTTACCAAGGGGTCTACACCGACTTTACTTCTCTGGGGTGATTTCTGAAGAGCATTTCATCCTAAATGATACATCATTTTTTTAAAGTCTAAAATGCCAATACTTGCAAGTACATTTGTTTTTAACAGAGTATAGTGAATACAGGAAGAAGCATCATTATTGTGCACTACTCAGGATTTAGGTATTTACTTAGGTAGAAAAAAAATGCTTTGAATACTCTGGGGAAATAGGATTCATTTATAGAAGAATATTTCAGGGATTTTTTTTTTTTTGCATTTTTCAAGGATATACATTCGTACTGATTTTTGCTTCCAAATATATTTTAAGGCTGTTTGGTAAGATATACCAAATATGAGGCTCAATTTACAGGGTTTTGTTCTTACAGGGAATTCTTAACTACTCAGCTTTAAAAAAGTAAAACTTTGAAGCTAAACATGCTTTACTATCAACTGTGCTCCGATGAACCCCATGCTTCGTGGAATGTAGAGTGTGAGGAAAAGGAAAAACTGCAGGCTGAGCCAACACCCGTAGGGGCCAGGACCTCACGGAACGCTCTCGGCGAGGTCACCAGGCTGCAGTGGGAGCTGGGTACATTTAAAGTGCCGGTCAAGCTGAGGAAAGAAAGTGCTACAGTGGGGAAGCCGGGGCTGCTCTTCGTGCCGTAGGGCCACAGGGAGGCCTGTGTTCGGGGGGACACACCCGCCTTCAGGTGCAGTCCTGCTTTCACCTTGCGTGACAGTGAGGACTCCAAGTTTGGGATCCGACAGAGAAACGGGACAGGCTCTTCCTCCGACGACGTGCCCGAACAGGGACACGCAAAGCATTGGAATGACAGTCACTGTGTCTACATCGAATTGTACAAATGCAAACCCTTTTCATTTGAATCCTTCCTGCTTTTCTCTGGTGCCAATCATGAAAACTAATTACTTTTCTTAAAGTCCACAGCTGGAAGTCACCATATGTGACCTTTTTTTTTTTTCCCCGTCATGTCTAAAACAGGCAAGAAATAGATTCTTGACTTTAACAATACTGCATAGGACAAAAGAATTCTGGAAAAATACAAATGTAAACTACATTTCTTCTTTACCATTTAAACTGAGATATACTTACCACTCACATTCATATTTCTTAAACTTTTTACAACATCACAAGTGTCACTTTAAACAAGCAAACTTTTTTCTTAAGGGTACCCTGGAGAGTCAACCGATAGAGCAGTTTGAGAATAAATACACATCTATAAAAAAAATCACATGTACATAAATGGGAACACTTAGAAGACGAGACTGTGTGATATAAGTTACAAAGGAATAAGACATACAATGACTCTTGCATCACAATAAGGGCCATGCTGTTTCTTTTCAGACACCTGCTACGGGACAAGCCAGCCTTTTGTAAGACTTTGATCTCTTTTCATGTGTCACTCCCTTGTGTGAATGAACAGTCAGCGTATTTTTTGATTGTGTAGATGCTGTGCTGGGTATTTTTAATGGGTTCAGACGTGGAATCCCCCGGGTTTCTGGAGAACTGCATGGCAGGGAGCTGGGGGGCTGGAGAGATGGCTTCTCATCACCATAGACTTGGCACAAGGACCCTGGCAATGGGTCAGCTGGATTCGGGGAGAAGCACCCCCAGGTGAAAGGGGGTGGGGGGGTCTGTCTTTCCTGCCCTTCGAGCTGGAGCACCTTCCACTGGGGTGTCTAGTGAGTGGTGAGATGCACCCATTGATTGCTATTTGTTATTCTTGCCTCTATTTATCACACGATTTATAAAAATATAAATAACAAAATGTCAGCCGGGTTCCATCTCTCGAGGTGTTTCTTGTTATCCTCTGAGAACAGAGTGGATCGGTTAGGTGTCCCCATGCCTAGCCATCAGAGCTGACTGAGAGACCATCCAGGGGGAAAAGAGGAAGAAGGAGAAGAAGAAGAGGAAGAAGAAGTTGTTCTGGCCGTGAGCTTGGCCGTCTGCGGAAATCAAAGCATTCCAGTGTGTGTACAGCACAAGGAACACAACAGGGCGTATTCGGTGGAGAAACGAGACAGAAGTTACCAGGTAGGTGAGAAACTGTACAAGCGTTTCATAAAGAAAAGAGAGGGCCGCGGCGAGGGCCGCCCCCGGCCCTACAGGCGCGTCTGGGCCTCGGGGATGTAGATCTCGATGCTGTCTGCGCGCTCCGAGGCCGAATTCTGGCGGAAGGACGCTGCCCTCTTGGCTGCCATGAGCCGCCTCCGGGCCTCTTGACGCTGTCTGTCTGGCAGGTCCAGGGACTTTTCTCTCGTGATGGGAAACTTCCCTTTGGGGGGCTTCTTTGGTATCGGAGGGGGTACCTTTCTTTCTTCCTGAAAAAGCATCACAAGTCAAAATTGGGGCGATCAGAGGAGAACAGAGCCAGCCCGTGAGCCTGGTCCCCCTGGGGGTGACAGCAAGTGGCCCGGGACACCCCCTGAGTGCCCGAGTCTGCCCAGCCCCTCAGCACCACCCCTGCCCCCGCGGCCTGGCCGCCTGCCCCGTGGGTCCTGCCCGTGACTTCCTCGCATCCTTCCATGGCGGGGAGAGGGGTCTGCGGACCGCGTTACACTTAAGGAACTTGATCCTGCGCCAGAACATTGGCCTTCTCCTCCATCTCTGATTTACTCTGATGTTGTTGCCAGATTAATGGACTCTGTCATCTCTGAGCATTGGCAAATGCCCACCATTGCAAGTTCTCGAGTATCCCAGGTATTCTGCAAGATGCCACTTGACATCCCTGTCACAGTCTTTTCAACAGACTCTGGATTCTAAAGACCTTCATGAAAACCATCTTACATGGGGGAACCATTGGCCAAATTCCCTATTATGGCCCTAAAACCGCTTGACATTAACTAGATGGTAAATAGATGCAAATAATTACTTCTGATCTTTAGCTCATGTTCTTAAATAAGTCATGAAAACAGGTGTATGCCTTTTCTAGAAAGCTCCATCCCACAGTTCTGCAGCGGATGTAATATGTAGTGCTTGTTACTGTTCTGGAGAAAGGTCTGTGTCCCAAACCCTGCTGCATTATTTACCGTGTATCCTAACTAACAAAGCTGGACATGATGCGGACTGTCCTTCCCAGTGGAGGGGTGACAGAGCCCTACATAGCCAATGACCCCCTTCCCAGGAAAGGGTGCCTGGCATAAGGCGCCAGAACCCCTTTCTTTTCTAAGCAGATATCTAGTTGTTGGGGGAAAACCCCACCCCGTGTCTTTCTCCCTTCAGCCTTTGCAGAAACCCAAATGGGCCGGACATGCTAGGACGTCGTGGGGAAGGCGTAGCTTGCCATGCAGGTTGGACGCCTGTGGCCAAACCTCCCCACTGTATAGTGTTGGATTTGATAGGGAGAGTGTTCTGGTGTCTGACACTATTCTCGTGGCTTATCTTAAAATGACTTGGACCAAAAAATTTAAAAAAAGCCTTGGGGGGTTACCTGTGGCTCAGTCAGTTGAGTAGCTGACTTCTGATTTGTGCTCAGGTCATATCTCAGGGTTGTGGGATCTAGCCCTGTGTTGAGCTCCTCATTGGGTGTGGAGTCTGCTTGGGATTCTCTCCCTCCCTCTGCCCCTCCCCTGCTCCTGCTCTGTCTCTCCCCCTTTAAAAAGCAGATTAAAAAAAATTAAAATGACTTGGACCAGTAGCAACGACTTCTTCCTGACTCTTGGACAGGCTCTATGACAATGGGGTAATTGGTTCGTTAAAACGTTCAGCTCTTTCAAAAGTTAGTTCCTGCATTAAGCTCATGACTGGATCTACCTATCTCTTTTCTCTTTGCTTGGCAGCCTCTGAAGTATGGCTGTGGGAAATACACACGAGCAATTCTTGTAGGAGTCTCTCATTTAAGGAGGCTCTCAGCCTCCGGACATCCTGTGGTAGGAGAGGTTGAACAGGTGGCCCTGCAGATCTACAGAGTAGACTTGCTCATGAAACACAAGGCATGGGGCCTCGGTGGTGTGAAAGAGCTGCTCATTGTCTGCACCGCGGTGTACACCCTCAGCAACAGGCTGTCTTCAGTTAGAGGACCATTCCCTATGCATAGCTTAGGTAGAAGGGATTGTATTAGTTGTCAACTACTAAAGAATGAAAGAAGTAGGAGGGATTATTGCAAATCTTTAGACTGGTTTACTGAGTTCTATTTTTAGCATTTTATTAGAATAACATTTTCATTGGCAATCTTTACTTGTGATCTCCTTCACTTCAAAACCAGACCATAGATAGGACTTGCTTATGCCCCGTGTATGGCTTACGGACAGCCTATGGCTTCCTACTCCCCCACCGTCAGTGTGAGAGGGGCTTTGTCAGTGGTCTGCAGCAGCATCTACAAGCCCAGAACTCTTCCAGGATGGTCGGTGGCTCCCTTGTGGCAATGGTGATGATGGCTTTTGTTCTAATTATCTGCATAGCCATCCTCCACCACGTGCTAACACCACTGCCTCAAAGCATGTTGGGTTAATTTCATCATTTTATTTTGATAATGCCTATCTAGAAAATCAGATTATGTTTACTCAGGTCATCTTTAAAATGTGATAGGAAATCAATGTATTTATTGCTGATTCAGACCTATGTATTAGCCCCACTAAAGATGAAATCTAAAGGGAAGACGTGAAATCATGGGTTCAGATTCAATGGAAACTTTCAGCCTATTTAAGGGCCGAGGCTGAGAGATCTAGAGGAAGTTTACATCATCAAATGGTTCAGTAAAGCTCAAAATATTTTCTTGGCTTCAACTGAAGATAAGCAACTAAAACATTTATCTGAATAGGAAGCAGTCATTGTGACCAGACCCAAAACCTTCCCTGTGGAAACTCATCTTTGTATAATCTGAACAAATGTATGACGAAGACAATTCAGAGGGTCGATCCCTACAAGAAATGAGACTCTAGATTGACATGTGATTTTTGGCTAGTGTCCAAGAGATGCAGCAAGAAAGAGACTTATTTACGACACCTGGCTAGTGACTCCCGCCCCACTCTGCACACACGTGCATGGGTGACAATTTGATGCCGTATCGCTAACCTAAGACCAGGACGCCCATTGCAGTGGAGCACAACTCCTGCAGCTGGACCAAGTATGGGGCGAGGACGAGGAGCGGGGCGTGAGGATGTCACATGCCCGGGGCAGAATTACCTTTCTTTCGGGAGACTCTATTATCTTCCAGTCGTTGAGCTTCAGCTGGTGCAGCTCATCGAACTTCATGCTGACGTCCTCGATGGAGAGCTGCAGCATGTCCCAGTAGCCCGCCAGGTCCTGGGATGTGGGTCTAGGCATGGCGCTGGGGTCCTGCCAACAGGCGAGCACAGTTTACACCTGCTCTTTCCCGCACGTGCCTTTCAAGGACTTGGGTTAGGGAGAAGCCTGGCTAATTCAAACTCTGATGCAAACATTTGAGTGGGCCCACAAAGATCCAGTAAGTTTACACACGTATTTGCCGACGCGTTTTACATTCACAAACAGGAAAAGGCTACGTATTGCGTGATCCCAACTCTATGACATTCTGGAAAAGATAACACTGCGGGGACAGTAGAAGGATCAGAGGTTGCCCGGGGTCAGGGGGGAGGGATGCAGGAGTGGGACACGACGTTTAGGGCAGGGAGACTACTCTGTGTAGTTACCACAATAGTCGCTACATGTCACTGTACATTAGTGCAAACCCACAGAGCATACGACACCAAGAGTGACCCTCATGTGCACCGTGGACTCTGGGCGATGGTGAAGTGCCCACGAGGGTTCACTGATTCTAACAGAAGCACCGTCTGCTGGGGATGCTGGTCGTGCTGTGGGGGGCAGAGGGGAACGGGAAATCTCTCTACCTTCTTTTCAATTTTGCCGTGAACCTAAAACTGCTTTAAAACAATAAAACCTATTAAAGAAGATACATGTATTACATTCATGCATTGTTTCCTTTCGAAAATGCTTTCTTAGGCCTCGAGGATGGGGGCGACTAGCAAAGTTTTCCAACGCTGGGCTGTTCATAAAAGCAACAAGGCAGCTGTGTTTTAGGTCTCCTTGGGGGATTATTCTGCAGATTGGTGCCCGGGACACAGACACGTGTTTGGTGGTGGTGGTGAGCTTGGGCTTGGAGCCGGTTCAGCTTCTGGGTGCTGACAGATCTTAGTGCGAATTCCAACGGCCAGTGACGCTGCACAAACGTTCCACGTGTGTACTTTGCTCCCACGTAGAGGGAGGACAGGCAGGTCCATTTTAGGAAGGTGTACAGTGAAGTCACGGACAGGTCCCCACACGCACAGGTGATGCCGCTGAGCCTCAAACTGGCAGCCCAGCGTGCACACTGTCCCCGCGTGGCATGAGGCTGGCGAGGATCCAAAGCCCTTCAGGCGCCTCCATGCTGGGGCCAGGCCGGCTTCACCCTGTACTTGCCCGGAGGCACGCAGGGCTGTGACACCCGGGGTTAAGCGTATGGGTGTTTCTGTGTGTGGCGCCTTTGATTCAGTGGGAGGCCATCTCAGATTAAACAGAGAAATTTCGGTGAATTTGCTTAAAATGTGCAATTTTCAGCTCACTTGTAAGTTGTTCATGGTAAGCACAACGTCCTTTACCTGTGTCTTAGTCCACTGGGGTGGCTGGACAGAACCCCACCATCAGCAGCTGACAAACAGACACATGTTGCTCATGGTGCTGGAGTCTGGGCATCCCAGATCAGGGACCGGCATGGACATGTTCTGGGGAGACCCACGTCCAGGGGGCTGATTTCTGGCTGCGTCCTTACTTGGAGGAGGAGGGTGTGGAGCTCTGTGGGGTCTCTCTTATAAAGACACTAACCCCATTCATGCGGGCTCCACCCTGATGACTCATCACCTCCCGAAGGTGCCGCCTCCTAATGCCATCACACTGGGGGCAGAGTCCAACACGTGAATTTGGGGGGACACACGCATGCAGTCCAGCACCCTGGTTTGACGTCGCATCAGAATAATCGCTTTCGGCCCCCAGCCTGCTGTGCCCCGTGCAACCAGCCGGCAGCCTGTGTGGGTGAAGGTTGGGGGAAGCGAGCTGCCTGTCGGGCTGGCTCATCTGCAGAAGCCCAGGGGGATGATGGCGTCCGCAGGGTGAGGGGTGGCCGGCTTCCAGGGAACCCCTCGGGGGAGGCAGCACCGTCCCCGGCTGTGGGGCTCTTCCTCTCGCACATGGGAGCCTGAGCTCAGCCGCTGCTCGTGAGGAGAAAGCGCACGGCCATGTTGCGGCCAGGGCTGCATTCCAGTGGTAATGGTGACAGAGCAGGACTCTGATCGCACCCGTGGCCATCCGGAAGGAAGTGGAGCAGGAGGAAGCATCTCCCACCAGGGACCCGTCTTCCATCTGAACTGGAGTTTCTAAGGGGGGTTGTGTCCCCTTCTGGAAGATATCACAAACACAACGAACCTTCTCTCTTTTTGTGGGTTTAGGGGAGGACGCCTGAGCGCATCTGTAGGAAGCCGCACGGTGACCCTTCTTCCAATCTCCGAGGTCAGGTTGCTGGGCGCAGGTCACGTCTTCAAAGAGAAAAGCTAAAGAAGTGTTCTTGGCGAGGCGCAGACTCCCACTGACCCACAAGCGGACATCAGTCTCACCTGTCCAGCTGCTCGGCTGCTCTTGAGGCAGGGGTGCGGCTGTGTGCAGGCAGCTGGGCACAGCCAGGCTCTGCCCCATGCCCCCGCCCCTGTCCTCTGCTCTTTTCTGGGGAAGCTGGATGCATCTGTGCCCACTGGACGTTCAGCTACCGTGATACGTTTGTGAAACTGTTTTTAAATGGCCCCTCCCCCAGCAAGATGACACAGTGCTCTTTCCCAGTTAAATTCACGTCCTGAGAGTTCCTGTGACTTGCTGGCCCGGCTGTCAGAGGCCCCCGTGACGTGGACTCTGGGGCTCCCATGTTCTGGGGTAACGTGCTCAGAGGGGCTGGGAAGCCCTCCTGGGCACACACAGGATTGTGCAGCTTTGCTGGGACGTTGGTCTGAAGGGGATGGTGTTTTTCTACCAGGCTGGCTGGGGTTGCAGTGCTGCTGGTCCTGATAAGGAAAATCTGTGTCCTGAGATGGCCCACCAAGCCAGCGAGAGAGTCCCAGTTCCTGCTCAGGGCTCTTCCGGCTTCTTCTCCCTGCCCCACTTCACGCACACACCCAAAATGCCAAGTATGCAGAAGTAAAAGTGTATAAATTGCCCCCTTTGTTTGTGCTGGGGCTCAGACCTTTGGAGACCACTCTCCTCTGAGCCCACTGGCGTTAAATAAACCTCCTAGCCTCCAAGATCTCCAAGTGCCGCTTGGTTCTGCCATTGGGCGATCCAGTCCAGGTTCCCTAACATTTGGTTGTCTGACCAGGAAACCCAACCGTGCTGGCCCATTGTTCCCACCACTTTGGGGACAACGGCGGGGCGGTGACAGAAGGAGGAATCGTAATGGAGAAGGTGCGCCCTGCCTAATTTTCAGCCATCTCTGCCCTGGTCGCCTTGGGCTGGCCCGGGTCCACTGTTCCTGCCAGACTCGAGGAGACTTGGCAGGTGAGGACCTGGTCCTGATGTCAGATTCCAGTAAGGCCTGGGGCCCCAGGACCCAGACAGGCCCACCCCCATTGGGGTGGAAGGGGAGCCTGATCACCACCCAGAGACCTCGTAGAGGTCTCACAGGTAGGGATTCCCAGGGAGGGAATGTAATAACTTCTGGAGTGTGAATGTGGGAGTGAATGTGCAGTCCGACCTGGCTTGCTCAAGTGGACTGATTCTGTGACTGCACAGGCGGGCAACCTTAAGGTCCCCAGAAGCCTACGGAGTCTGAGTGGGCCCGTCTGCGATTCCGTGGTGAACGGCATACAGTCTAGGGTGGCACTGGGATAGTTTCCGATGGTAAGTCACAACACTGAGACTGCCATGGCTAAGCTTCACCTAAGCTCCTTCGGGACACGGCCAGACGCGCATCTGATTGGTCTCCTCACCTCAGGAGGCACCCCCCCCCTTTTGTCTGTCTCTGCACCACCGCACACGGGGACATCACCATGGGGTCAGGGCAGGGTAAACCTACAGTTTTGGAGACCATGATCAAAAATTTCAAGAAGGGGTTTTCAGGAGACTATGGAGTCAGGATGAACCCCGGCAAGTTGAGAACCCTCTGTTTATTGGAATGGCCCACCTTTGATATTGGGTGGCCTTCAGAAGGGACATTGGATGTCCCAATGATTCGTCAAGTGTGGCGAGTCGTAACAGGAGAACCAGGACACCCTGACCAGTTTCTGTACATTGACTCCTGGCTAGGAATTGCCCAGACCCTTGCCCCCTGGGTGCGATTCGCTTGCAATAGGCAGGGACAGGCCAGAGTCTTAATTGCCTCATCCAAGCGACCTAAGGAAAGTCAGCAAGAGCCCCAGTCTCCACCAATCCTAGCCAGAGATCCTGAGGATGAACCGACCCTGCCCCCACCATATGCACCCCCAAGACCACCTACACCTGGCCCTTCAGCTCCAGATGCTCTGCCGCCATCGGTCTCGCCATGCCCCCAGGCCCAGAGGATCCACTTTCTCCAGGACCAGCAGCCAGGCTACACCCCAGGCTGGGCACAAACACCCTCCAAATGCCAATAGGAGAGATGTGGGAATCTGAGAGGCGCGATGAAGACTGGGCGGTCCATCCCGGCCGTTCCATGATGTATTATCAGCCCTTCTCCACCACTGACCTCCTCAACTGGAAACATAACACCCCATCCTACTTTGAGAAACCACAGGCCATGGTAGACCTCATAGAATCCCTCTCCCAGACTCATCGGCCAACCTGGGAAGACTGCCAACAGTTACTCCGCACCCTGTTTAACACAGAGGAAAGGAGGAGAGTGATGAAAGGTGCACGGCAGTACCTGGAAGAGTGTGCACTGGCGGGAGTCATCGACCCTGCTCCCTGGGCTAACACAGCCGCACCCGAAGAGCACCCAGCACGGGACTTCACCACAACTGAGGGACACATCCGCTGGTACCAGGAGGCCCTCCTCTGGGGAATCCGGGCAGGAGCTAAGAAACCCATGAACATGACTAATGTATTCTCGGTCACTCAACAACCAGGGGAGGCCCCTGGGGACTTCTACAAAAGACTATGTGAAGCCTACAGGATATACACTCCGTTTGACCCCGAGGCACAGGAAAGCCAACAGATGGTAAACATCACCTTCGTGGCTCAGGCTGCCCCAGACATCAGAAAAAACTTCAGAACCTAGAGGGTTTTGCCCGGATGAACATCACCCAACTAATAGAGATTGCCGGTAAGATCTACATGAACAGGGAGGTTGCAGCTGAACGGGAAGCTGA